TAGATAGCAGAATTTTTCTGACACCTCAATTATCTCTTCATCATTTATCTGTTAGTTTGTAGCAATGTTTAATCTTACTCGGATGTTGAAGTTCTCTCCTTATCTCTCTGTCTCAGGTGGACTGTCTGGTGTTACAGTTGCACCGTATCGGAGATCAGCTGGAGAAGATGAATATGCAGCTCATGGATGAGCTGTTCAATCTGCTGAGGGATGGATTTCTCCTGCAGGAGGACCTAAGCTCCATGGGCCGCCTGCTCCTGCTCGAGATCCTTGAGTTTCGTGCGGGAGGCTGGACTCTCAGCGAAACGGCTCAGAAATACTACTACAGCGAAGTGACGGACTGAGGCCTCCACCAATCAGGAGAGAGAAACAAGAAGGCGGGATGAAATTGCAATCCATAGGAACCAAGTGTGGAGGTTATTTTTATATTTACCTTTGATGAAGGCTTGGAGATTCACTAGGTATGAGGTTTGACATGAAGTAGAAGATTGGGCAAAGTTAGATGCAGTACTGGGTTTTGGTTTTGTTTTGACTTTTTAAAGTCAACTTGAATTGATATGAAGTTAATCTTATTAGCTTTCATAATACACATTCCTGGTTTTATAGTTTTATTCATTCACATTATTCCAAAAAAAAAAAAAATCCACAATTCATAATTTTTTTGATCAAAGATTTATAACTTTATCATCTCTGTAATGCCACCCAAGGCCGCTTGGGGTTTAATCAATGGGTGCTGGTAGCGTTTCCCCAATTGCAAAGTCTTGCAGTCTTTTTCCCATCAAGATTTAGAAAACAGAAACCTGCAAATAGTAGTCCATGTTGTAATGTAACAGGAATATGTTAATGTCCCAGGACAAACTATTAATATGTGTGATAATGCAGTTCATTCATGGTACTGCCTACTTACAAATCCAGTTAGTAGAAAAAATATGTTATAGCTAAAGGGCTTGTTAATGCTGCTTTTTTTGGCCATAATCACAATATATTTAGCCATTGGTCACAGATCTTTAGACATTTTAGTTTGAAAGTAGAATGAGTTTGAAAGTGAATGGAGTTCAAGTACATCTCCATCTGATCATTGAAGTCTTGCAATAGCAGCATTAAAATCATGATTCATTTGATTTAGGTCTTATATTTGTGTCAAGGGCTGTAATCATAACACTAGAGATGATTAGATGGTTTTAATATCAATATATTTAATACACTTTTAGTTGTTTGATTTTCTTAAATCGACTAACAAATTATATTTGCCTCAGTAGGAAGAACAGCTATTTCTATTTTATAAAAAGGTTTACTTTATATATTTGTTCTATAATATGTCTTATAAGATTTAAATCTGTGACAAAATCTATGTTTTTTAATGAACCAAAAACAGTTTATAAGAGTCACATTTAAATACAATGTTTCCTTAAGGATAATATTTTTATACTATGAAAAGTAGACTGGATGTATATCCAACAAAACTTCTACAGGTGCTGGATGAAGACAAAGCGTCGCAAATGTGCATAAATTTGCACAGCTATGACTATTTTCTTATTTTGTATCATTTCAATCTGATGAAGATCCACTGGACTGAAATGTTAACATGAAGTCAGGTGATATGCCAAAATGTTGTATTTGAAAGTATAAAAAGTAAGCTCCTGTGCAGCTGCTTTTGGCCTCACTGATTCCTCAGGCTCTTGCAGATTAGACAATGACTTGTATAGTTGTCTTGATGCCACAAGTTTCAAATAAATAAAGAATTAAATGTTTTTGTGCACAAAGTTACAATTGAAATCTGAAAAATGTGTCGCAAGATGTGTCTTTAATTTGTTTTGTAACACTTAAAAGTGGAAATGTGACTTTTTATAGCTTTATTTACTTTCCTTCAAGAACAAACTGTATTTATGAGTCAAGATAACAGTCCTTTTTTGTGATGCCCATCCATCCCAAACTCCTGATGCCGTCAGTCCAAAACAAATCACGTCTGTGGGTGTACTAGGAGTCCAAATCTCCTCTCTCTACCACCAGCGGTAGTGTGCATATGCCCTGTTGGCTTCGGCCATCTTGTGAAGGTCGTGTTTGCGTTTCACTACGTTTCCCTCGTTAGCGAAGGCGGCCAGCAGCTCCTGCGAGAGTTTCTCGTACATGTGTGTGCGACGGTGCTTGTTGTCTCTGCATTCTGTGATCAGCCACTTCATGGCCAGAAAACGCCGCCGATTATCCGTGAGAGGGACGGGCACCTGCAAGACCAATAATTCAGAGTAAGATTCAGTAAAACTTATTTATTTAGACTGGCTTTAAATACCTAGCAATGTTGTGATATCTTCATGTATTTTATGGTTTATTTTACCTATTTTGCTGTAGCCAATTATATTTTTGTTTTTACTGTATTCTTTTTTTGCTCTTGTTGGAAAGCACTTTGGTCACCTTGAGTGATGTAAAGCGCTATAAAAATAAATGTTGATTGATTGATTGATCTTCTGTTACAGAGCTTTGATGTTATTCCTTGAGCTTGACTGTATTGTTTGTTTTATGGAAAAGATCTGCTTTTGAAAACTGCAATTGTGTTTCACAGAAGAAAGCAAGTCATGCAGGTTTGGAACCACATGAAGGTGAGTAAATTATGATAATTATTCATTTTTTTGATGAATTATCCCTATAAACATAAATAAAAATCACTCTGGATAAAAGGTTACAATTTAAAAAATATTAAATATTGTCCAAAATATGTGTAAACTGAATTCCTCACAACTTCATTAAATTGTATTTTCATATATAAATAACATATTATTAAATTGGCTATCAGTCACATTTCTCTCAAGATATTTCTATCAGTGTTGGCTGTTTACAAACCCTTTAGTTCAACACTGATTCTGAGTTGCATATCCACAAACATCTGACTCTGATCTCAGAGTAGTGAAATTAATATTAAAGGTTGTTCACTGACCTGATAAGATTTCCCTCCTTTCTGAACACTGGCCAGGCCAATGATGGGTTTGCAGTTCTCGAGGGCCTTCTGGAAGATGGTGTATGGATTGCACTCGATCTCTAGTCTCTTGGCTGCAGGAGATCTGTGGTATATCTCCACCTGTTTTCTCTTTATAGTCTCCAGCGTCTAAACGGACACAAAGCATCCAAGCAGAAGTTACGTCGAGACTCATTTCAGGTAGTGTATTGAGATATTTTACAAGTGTATGCTAGCATAAATTTAGAGTATACATTTTTTGTAAACTACTCTTATGCTCAAGGCTGCATTTTATTATTTAAAAAAAATAAAAACAAGAATATTGTGATATTATTACAATTTAAAATAACTTTTTTTTTAATTATTATATTGTAAAATGTAATTTATTGCTGTGATCAAAGCTGAATTTTCAGCATCATTACTCCAGTCTTCAGTGTCACATGATCCTTCAGAAATCAGTCTAATATGCTGATTTGCTTAATTATCAATTATTGTTGTGCTCACTTATCAATAATGGTTTGTATTATTATTATTATTATTATTAGTGTTTTGCTGCTTTAAAATGTATCATACAAAAATATTTTCAAGATTGTTTGATGAATAGAAAGCATTTATTTGAAACGGAAATCTTTTGCAGCATTATAAATGCTATTTCGTATCAATTTAATGCATCCTTGCCGAATGTCTTTTTGTTTTTAAGAAGTCTTACTTACCCTGAACTTTTAAATAGTAATGGATCAGTTTCCACAAAAAAAAAAATGAAGCAGCACAACTGTTTTTAACATTGATAATAAATGCTTCTTAAGCACCAAATCATCATATTAGACTGATTTCTGAAGGATCATGTGACACACACACACACACAACTGAAGACTGGAGTAATGATGCTGAAAATTCAGCTTTACTGTCAAAGGAATAGATTTTTATTTTAAAATGTATTTAAATAGAACAGTTATATTACATTTTCATAATATTTCACAATATTACATTTTTACTGCATTTTTTGTTTTTGGTCAAATACTTGGTGAACAGGAGAAACTTGTTTAAAAAACAAAAAAACCCATTAAAAATTGTAATTATTCCAACTGTTGACCGCCAGTGTGTATATAATGGGATCTGATTCAAACCTGTGTCATGATTCCTCTAGCAAGGATTTTGTTGCCATCTTGCATCATCATGTTGATGAACTTGCTGTTAAAGGAAAGCAGATGATCAGTGCTATGAAGGATCCATATATACTGTGGGGTCCAAAAGAAGTGGGACCACGAGTGAAAATATATTTTTTCTTAATTACAGCAAAGTTCAAACAATGTTATGACAAAAGTATAATCAACATGAGTTAATTCATTCTGAATTATAGATTTTCAATGTGGCTTTTAAACCCCACTGTGTTTATAGTCAGAGCTTTGGCTATAATAACATTTACTGCAGTTGGTTGAGCTCTTTTTGTTTTTACCTGATCAGAGGGTCATTGAAAGTAGAGCTGGTGTCGCTGGACAGCGCAGCTTTTATCGGTCTCACCGTTTTCAGTTCCTGCAGCTCTTTTTGTTCAGGACTGAGCTCTGAATCTGGAGCATCTTTACTGGGATCAGGATCCAGATAGTATGGATTATACCGACTCCATCTCGCGAAACACAGACTGAGAGAAGATGCAGAGTAATAGACAAATGTTACCTAATAAACGTGTATTACACAGTGAAAAATCTGTACAAAAAGCAGCATGAATTTGGCACATGGCTATGTTTGCGATGAACAGCATGACAACAGCCATAAATAATACAAATTATGAATTGCACAGCAAAGCTTATGTTACTTAGACCTCATTTCGGATATTCTAGGCAAAAATAAGTGGCGAAAACTAGTCAAATGTACCTCGGTGTCCAAGGTTTCAGTAAATGTCTGACGGAGGCTGCCATCTTTAGACTGGTGTAACAGGTTTGTCTGAGATCAGCTTGGGTGACCAAACTCTTATATTCATTATTAGAGGAGAAACACAAACGCAGATCTCCGATCAGCCGTTAAACTCTCCTTGACGCGGCCGTGAAAGGACCTCCGCCGAAGAACGCGTCCTAAAATACTGCCGGAGTAAAATAATTGCACTAAATATTTGTTTTAAAATTAATATCTTGCATCTTTACATTTATTGTAGCTGTATAAACCGTTCTTGCTCAGTGTCTAAATAATAGTTATTTACACTAAAAAGAATGAATAGGCAGTCGGTGAATTTTCAGTAGGCTAAACGTCTTTATACTCATATGTTTGTACGTTACTGCGTCGTAGATTTATTCATCTGATTTAAAAAAAATAATAATTTACACAAACTTCAATTACGCCAAATATTCGTAATGCTGTGTATTATTTCATCTATAATTTTAAAAACACTTTATTAATATTAACGAAGAGATTGAAAAAAGCGAAAGCGAAAGTGTTTCTTTAGGCGTGTCCTCCCGTGATCCTCGTCGAAAAAGGCTCTCGTTTTCATGATCATTTATGATATAATGACAGTTTTGTCTAATTTTAATACATGATGGACATTACCTGTATTTTTATGTCAATACTTATGATTGTCGCTGATGGTGAGTATTTTCACTTTACGTTTATCCGCGAAAATAGCCTTCGAGATTTCCTTTTTTAACGCTTATTATTTATTTATTTTAACGCATTCATCAATTTGTCTGTTTTTTGAAAGGGTTGATTGTGCACGGTCCCTCTGGTCCTGTGGTTTCTCCTCTGGGATCTTCAGTGGTTTTGCCCTGTTATGTTGATGAACTCTTACTAATGGAAGGTCTGGAGGTGGAATGGAGAAGAACAGACTCAGAGACTCTGGTTCATCTGTATCAAGATGGTGAGAGTCGACCAGAGGCCCAGCAGCAGGATTATTATGATAGAGCTCATTTCTTTACTGATCAGATTCAACATGGAAACTTCTCCCTCCGTCTGGACAATCTGAGCGCTCAAGACAAAGGGGTTTACAGATGTAAGGTTTACAGTCAGCAGGTTGCAGGCAAAACTTTAGTTGAAATAAAAGATGTTGGTAAGTGTGAATCATTTTCTACATCAGAATTTAAAACAAAAACTAGGCTATATTTCATTCTGTAATATTTCAGCTGTTCTTTCTTCCAGAGCGTTTGCTAGTATCAGGATCAGATGAGTCCATATCTGCGTCTGTGGGTGAGGACGTCACTCTGAACTGCTCTGTAGACTCTCACATCACACCTGAACACATTGAAGAGGTTTCATGGAGGAAAACTGATAAAGATAAAGATATTCTGGTTCTGCTGTATCAAAACAATAAGTCTTTATCAGATTCATCAGATGAGCGATACAGAGACAGAGTTGAGTTCTTCACTGCTGAAATCCACAAAGGAAACTTCTCTCTCAGACTGAAGAGTGTCAGAACTGAGGATAAAGGAGTTTACACGTGTCAAGTGTTTGCTGGAGGACTTTCAGCCAATGCAACTGTAGTTCTGGAAGTGGGTGAGTCAAGATTAATAAGAATAACTACAACAATAATAACACAATTCAGCCTAAACTATCTCCAACTCTGTGACCATGGGTATGCGCATAGAATATTCAGGGACTTTAAAGGGATGACATAGTTTGTAATTGACCTTGTCACTTAGTGCTATTTCAGTGACACAACCTCCTCACACTACCAAAATTCACAAATAAATAGAATGAGATTTGCAAATAAAATATTTACAAGTACATTTTTGTCACAAACACAACTCTGCCTGCCATTAATTTGTGAGTCACTTCCAGTACATTTGTGGATTTCTTACCAAGATTTATTGACCTTATGCTTCCAATTTGAGACCATGCAGATGATGTGATTAGTTGTAAGGAGAACGTGCTACGATTGGTCAGCACAGTGTAGCCGTTATCTGACTGGCTTGCCTTGAGTAGATGGTGGGTGGAGTCCACCTATTTTGTGGATTTGTGTGCGTCTTGACACTAGAAAGGTTTCAAAATCCACAAATACATGTGGTGATCCACAAATGCACTGGAAGCCATTTTCAAATGTATTATGACTCACAAATGAATGGCAGGCAGAGTTGTGTTTGTGATATAAACAACATCTTTGTAATTTTTTTTATTTTTTTTTATTTTGCAAATATCATTTTTTTTTTACTTTAATTCATGTTTGTGAAACTGAAATCTATTTTTGGATCTCATTCTATTTATTTGTTAATTTAATTTTTGTGAATCTCTTTACATTTATTTGTGAATCATAATCTATTTTTTGGAATAATGGAACAAGTATAACCCCATACATCTCAGCTGTTACGATAAACAGAGATAAAAACTCTTCACTCAGTTTTCACATTAAGCAAATCATTGTAAATTGTGATTTGGTATCTGAATTGTACTGTGAAAATTTGTGGTATTATATATATTAAAAAAATATGAGTGCGGCAGTAATTACAGTTCCCTTTCAGTCGGTCACTCTCAACGTCACGTCGGATGACCGACGAAATTGGGATCTCACTTAGAGAGACCAATCTACTTCGAGTGTAAACTAAACGAGCCAATGCACATTGGCATGCGATTATTGCATCCAGCTGC